ACCCTTTATAGGTAAAAGGATTTTGGAGTCTCTGGCCAGGAGGGATTTTATAGTACTGTACATAGGAGAGCTGTTACCCTTCCCTTTATAGTTATGACAGCCCATCTTGCATTTCCTTATGCAGTGAAGTCAGAATGATGTTTGTGGCATCAGCCATTTCTATGGAAACAGACTATGCTGTCAATCACACAATTATAAATTCATTGCAGGCGCTAGCAACAGAATAAACTTGATTTTTGGAAGACAAACCCCTGGTTTTTCCACAAAACAAGGTGAAGCAAAATGGGCTTGACCGAGATTTAGTTTAGAGTTTTACTTTGTTCAAACCTGAAACTCGAAAGGGAATTTCAAGAAGCAGGAGGAAGATACATATAAATGAAGGCCAAAAGGTAATATCTGCATGTAACCCTATGACATGTATCATTAGACCAGTGACACTCAGACCTCAGTGGTTACTCAGACCTCAGGAGCCAAATTAGTGATAAACATTACCCAAAAGAGCCAGAATGGTGTGAATTCATTGTTTCATTTACTATTTATAATATATATGTTATTCTCACTGCAAAATGACTCACCAAGTATTATTATTTTGTCATCTACAATTGGTTAATAACAGAGTAAAAGCATCCTGATTGGTTAATAATTAAATTGCATAGTGTTTTAATATCATGTGCTGCAAAGAGCCACAGGAGACACATTAAAGAGCCACTTGCAGCTTGGGAGCCCCAGTCTGAGTATCACTAACTAACTCATACTCGTTAAATGCAATGCTTAATTTGTAATGAAAGAGGTGTTGGGGCTCAAGCAATTTTTTTTTTTTTTTTACTTTCGTAACTGACACAGCAAGCCTAAAGGGGCCAGAACTATGAACTGCCAAGCCTAGAGGTGCCGGGGATCAGCTCTGGCAAGCCCTGGCACAAATTAAGCACTGGTTAAATGGAGTCTTCATGTCACACCACTGAAGTCAATGTTCGATGGTGCTACAATGCTGATGAAAGATTCCCTTAACGAATAATTTAGGTACAAGATAGTTATGGTTTAAAGTGTTTCAATGAAATCCTACTAACACCCCCTGCCAAATGACACTTTCTTCACAATGTTTTACAGAATTAAAAACCCGAATCATTAAAAAATTCTGGAAGTGAACAGTTAAAGGATGCACCCAATTCTCACTTACACAGAATCTTCGATTACCATTCCCATAACCCTTAATTTGGCTCACTGTTTTCTTCAATGATGGGAATATGCTGTTGGGTATATACCAGGGATTGGCAACCTTTGGCACGCGGCCCGCCAGGGTAAGCACCCTGGCGGGCCGGGTCAGTTTGTTTACCTGCTGCATCCGCAGGTTTGGCCGATCGCGGCTCCCACTGGCTGCGGTTCACCGCTCCAGGCCAATGGGGGCAGCGGGAAGCGGCGCGGGCTGAGAGATGTGCTGGGCGCCGCTTCCCGCCGCCCCCATTGGCCTGGAATGGAGAACTGCAGCATGTGGGAGCCGCGACTGGCCGAACCTGCGGACCCGTCAGGTAAAGAAACCAGTCCGGCCCCCCAGGGTGCTTACCCTGGCGGGCCGCGGGCCAAAGTTTGCCAATCCCTGGTATATACAATTGTATACCTGTGTAGCGAAGATTTTGAAATCAGTATAGTCCCAGGGCACTCTATATCATAGTTCCATAAATTCTCTCATAGTGTTGTGTGGGCGGAGTAAAAGGATATTTTAAATTACCAGAAATAATATTATTGCTCAGTTTGGTTATATGGTATTGTATGTTTATGTATTCTTTTATTGTATGCAGCATAAAGAAAGATCAAAACTGTGCAAGGAGATGGGAGTACTTAATGTTATATCACATAACAGACATCAAAAGAAACTTGCTTTACTTTATAAAGGCACTCAGTGTTCAATAAAGCTTAGTTTAGTCTTTTTCACAAATTAACAATATTTAATATAATAATTATAAATTCTAGATAACAAATTTTCCCTCATATTCATCTGACCTTCATTATAAACCTGTATACCAAATACTAATAATATTTTCAACTACAGATTGATTCACTTGAATTTATTGCGTGTGTGTGTGTGTGTGTGTGTGTGTGTGTGTGTGTGTGTGAGAGTGAGAGAGAGTTCATATAAGCTCTCTTTGGTGATGATCTAGGGTGCTGTTTTCAGTCAGTTAAGGTAAGTTAGGACTTCAATTTGTCATATCTATCACATGGGCCCTGTTGGTATAAAGCTTTTTGCCCACTGAACACCACAACCATAGACAATGTTCTGTACTTTTAAATCATAGCTAGAAAGTTGGTCCTATGGAGTGAATAAATCTATAATAAAGATTGATTCACTGGTTCAATTACCAGTGTGGAATGTATGGAATGGTGGGTCTATGTTCAAAATCTTTGATTGTAATGGCACTTCGAAAAACAACACAGAGGTGAGTGTGACAATCACACTTTGTATTCAGATGTTTTCTTGCCACTGATTATCCTAACAGCAATTTTAAGATCTCAAGATGCACTTGGGAGTGTTTTGCAGTGAACAAGTTTGTACAGTAGAGACAGGAGATTAACTGGGTAAGGCCATATCATCTTAAAGTTTCTTCTAATCAGTTCTTTTGTAGTTTCTCCTATAGTAACAGCATCTAGACATTTTTAACTTGTAAAGAACATATAGGAATCTGGAAAATAATAGGTACATTTTATTCAGAAGCATTCAACATTCAGTAGCATGGAAAAATCCACTAACTGTCTATAGTCTTTGATCTTCCATCTTTTAAAAATATTGTGTCTTTGTATCGTGGAGGAAAACCTGATAACCCACATATCCAGCAAGTCAGTGAGAAAGATATCTGATGCCTTTTTTCTATATTTGCAGAGTGGTTCCTAACACAAGATGTTGTCCAATTTCCTGTTTGAAGAGGACTATGGTTACGTGAACTAGGATGCTTTCAGACTGCATCCGCAACATCCACATGGAGGAGTTACAGAGCAGCACTTTGTTGTGCACTGTTATTCACATCCCCGTAGTCTGAACTTCGGGCCAGTGTAGACAAGCCCAAAGTCTTATTTGAGGCACTGAATGGAGGTTTGTATTTCACAGAGACAAAGCAAAGTGTCACCCATGAAGAGAGCAAATTTAAGTTCATTATCATAATTCCCTGAATCTCTGGGGAACCTGTCAGCTATTGCAAGTAGTTCAAGAATGAGAGCAAACAAGAGGAGGTGACAAAGAACACTCTTGACTTGTGCCACTCTTTAAAGAGAGGGTCCTTCAGAAGCCATTCAAATAAAGGAAGGTATATGGAGAACCACAGATCAGTTTGAGACAGAGGTTATAAATTCATTTTTAAAACTGTAGTTCTCCAGTACTACAAAAAGATAGTCCCAAAGAACCTTAACCAACATCTTTTCTGCATCTAATGCTAGAAAGCCATTTTTATTCATTTCTTTAATATGATGAATAATGTTTCTCATTAAATATTATAAATTGTGGCTTTCCCTGGAATGAAGCCAGGTAGTTGGTTTCCTAAGCATTTTGCTAATACTTTATTGTCCAGACTGGTTAGTTATACTGGCCAGTATGATCTACAGTCTTCTAGATTTTTATCTTTTTTCAGGGGTATGGTTATACTGGCTTCCAGACAAGAATTAGGCTATTTTCTTTGTTCAAGGGAGTGACTGCACATTTGAAGTATTCAAGGCACCAGAAGCTTCTGTAAAGATTTATAGACCTTGTGCTGACAGTGTCCAGCCCAGGACATCCGACATTTGGAAAGTCCTTTGTAGCATTCCTAAGTTCAACTGCTGGTATCTCACTTCAAGTTTGACTTTTTTGTTTTAGCAATCTGCAGGATATTTTGGGGTTTTCCAAAATTGTATGTTGTAAAAGAGTTCCTGAAGATGGAAAAAGTTTTATTTTTTTGTAGCACTTAAAATGTGTCTTATCTCTTTTTGATCAGTTGCTTTATTTTTCTTCTATTCCATTTGCAAGTATAACAATTGGAGCAACAGTTGAATGACATATTTTGAAAGCTTACAAATGTGCATTTTTACCTATATTGTGCAACAACTGACATATGTAGGTTCCTTTACAGTGAGAAATGAAATATGTGTCACACTTTCACTATATTCAGCAATTTAAAAAAGCTCCTCATCAACTTATTACTTTGATTCATTAATAAAAGTTTTTACAAATTTCAAAGGGCAAAGTTAAGGTCATAAGGTATTTTAAATAGAATAGGGTGACGCGAAAGTGGGGAAATTACTGGAGAACACTAACTCTAAAAATTCTTCTCTCCCCCCCTCCTCCCCATAAAAAACTTCCCAGAGAACAGAATTTCCCTGGGGAGAGAGTGCCATGTGACGTTGAAACCTGGTGAATGGGGAGGGTCTCAGAGCCCAGGCTCCAGCCTGACCATCTACACTGCTATTTTTAGCCCCACAAGCCCAAGTCAGTTGACCCAGACTCTGAGACTTGCTGCTGCAGATCTTTCCTTGCTGTGTAGACATACCCTGAAATCTCACAGAGACTGGCTTCTTTTGTGGAAGTTAACGAGGAAGGGGTTTGGAGATAAAACAAAATTAGCATTGTAATGGTGAGCTACAGAGCAACTGTCAATACTCCATAATATAACACTATTTTCAATCAATACCACCAATTGCAAGTGCATCCACAATTTAAATAAAGTAAGTGCTTAATTCACACATCGGAAAAACACTGTGGTTGGCAGATTATTTGCAGTACAATAAACTACTTTGCAGCTAGATTGTGTTAACATTCATATGGTGGAAGACAGGTGTAGTAGCTTAATTCCAAGCCCTTTGTTACATTTAACAATAAAATGTAACAAAGGAAAGCACTCAGCAAGCTTACATTTATTTTTTGCCTGTTTGCGTGTCTTTTTGCTTTGTTTCAATTTGGCTTCCGGGGGAAAGAGAAAAACTTTGAGCATAAACTAATTCTTCCCATTCTGCAAGGAACAAAATAAATCTCCAACACTGACCTTTTGATGACTGTATCCTCAGGAGAATGTTAGTTATTACTGCTTTTTTCTCCCTGACAGTGGATGTTAGATATTCATGGTCCAAAAGTTCAAGAAACAGACGCAATTCAACTATTAATTCTTCCATGGCTGAAAAAAATAAAACAACAACCAAGATTTTACTTTTCTAAACATGTAAACTTGATTTAGACAGGCCAGTGAATTCTCTTATTTAAAGAGATTCCTTGTCAATTTTATTTTAACCTGTACTCTTCCCCTCAGTCCTCCCCCAAAACCCACGCATACACTAAAGATATGTCTACACTACACGGACTATACAAGCACAGCTGTGTCATCATAGCTATGCCAGCATAACTGCATAGTATACATGTGGTCCACACTAATGGAAGGGGATTTTCCATCAGTGCAGGAGCACCACCTTCATGAGTAACAGTAGCTACACTGACAGAAGCATTCTTCCTTTGACATAGCTGCGTCTACACTGTCAACCCTTCTGCATGTCAACCTAACTTTCAATGTAGACCAGGCCTAAAGCTAGCTGGGAACATATTGCATTAATTAGGCAAACTACAAAAACTAGCCACAGTGTCACCCATCCCACCATTAATCTCTGGTGAACCACCTTGCTCACCCTCCCTCATAAATGTCACAACGGAACCTGGCTGGATTTTTTTAAACATTTTTTTCTTTTTAGTGTCATTTAAAAGGAAACAGTTGTCAATGCATTTAGAAATTTTTGTCACATGTTCAAAAATTTTCATTTTTGAATTTTTGGGAAAATCTCCGCCCACCCCTACCCCCTTAAACATTTCATCCCTTGTTTCTGGTGAAAAAAAAACAAAGGACGGGATTAAAAACCAACAAACAGGTATGTGATTTTTTTCCCTAAAATTTTTTAAAAGAATTTTGTCAAATATGAAAAATGTTATTAAAAATGAATGAAAAAGTCTCAGCCCCCACATTTTTCATGAAATATTCCTCCCTCCTTTATTTTATCAGCTCTAGTTAGAACATGTAAAAATATGAAGTGGATCGAGATACTCAGCCTCCAAACTAAGCAGCTCCACACTCAGAGATGAGGAGGCTCACAGGTCCAAAGGTTCACTGGGAGGTGGTTTTTCCACATAGACTCCATGTATGGGTCTACATAGATAGCAATGCCAGTCCCCAGGACCACATCACTTGTCCCTGCTGTCTATGCCAAGTGCTAGCCTAGAGTGTTGACTATGACATAGTAGGCTAATTCTCCAGGCATCATCATCATCTTAGCAAAGAACTCTCCTCTGAGGGTGTCTAATAAGCTAGGGACAAGGTGACGCTACAGAGGCTTCTGGAGTTTGCAGGGATGCAGTCATACAAACGCTATGTCATAAATGAAGTAGTAACAGTCAGGGCCGGCTCCAGCTTTTCTGCCGCCCCAAGCAGCGAAGCAAAAAAAAAAAAAAAAAAGAAAAGATAAAGCCGATCGGCAGCAATTTGGCGGCGGGTCCTTCGCTCCCTCTCTTCCTCTTCGGTGGCAGCTCTAAGACCTTTCCATTGGCCGCCCCAAGCACCTGCTTCTTTCGCTGGTGCCTGGAGCCAGCCCTGGTAACAGTAAGAAGAAGCGTTTGAAAGGGCTGCATGTTGTGGCTGAGAAAAGTCTCTCTCTTATTATTAGCAGAACCCCAATGTGCTAGTCCACATACCAAAGAATTGTATATTTCTCAAAAATGAGCAAAGACAAAGACACATGGTCTTAAGGACTATTTGTTTGGCTATCAGATACACAAGGATATAAGACTTTTGAGAAAAGCATTTTTAATGTGCTGGACTCTGTCTGGATTTAAAACAAAATACATACACAAAAAAGTTACCGGTATTCTTTATTTTACCCCTGGAAAGAATGAAGCAGAAATCAATTTCCTTACCTACTTTGCTCCTTCCTTGCCTTCCCTCCCATCATATCCACATGTTTGTTTTCTAACACAGTATTTCCATAAAGCCAGTTCCTACAGCGCAGTAAAATAAGTGACTAATCTGTTCATATGACCACCAATGCGCATATCGCAGCTTGCTGAACAGTGCACATTGGTACTTCACTTGCGAATGTTTGAACACTTTATCTTTAGAAATGGCCACCTTTTTTCAACATAGGCCTTCTCTGAGCTCACTTTTAATTCTGTCGTATTAACAGCTTTGAATTGTTTTATTCATTAAATGACATATTTCCATAGTCTATGTCTATATTATTCAATACCAATAATATAACAAAATTCTTAAGATATGACATTTAATGCAAGAGTGAAGTATTACCGTGAAACAACTGTGAGCTGGAAGAGCATTCTGGCTAATAGTCTCTAACTGAGCAATGCCCAGCTCCCCGCTGTATCTGGTCTGACCACAGGCTCTCCTATACCTTATCTCTAGCACTGCTTCAGTCAGGATTTTTTTTTTAACTGCAATAATGTTGACCAAGCTCTTGTGTATAATTGTGACCATATGTTTTACAGTATGCTGTGGTCCCATTCCTGCCCCTACTGAATTCAGGTTATACCGTTGACTTCAACGCAAACAGGATCAGGAGTCTACGGCATAGCTGATACACTGCAGATAGACTGAGGGAGAAAACATGTCGGTTCATCTAAGCCCAGAAGCGAAAATAATTAATAAATATTAATAAATAAATAAATATTTCCTATTATAATAGGAAATCCATCCATAATTCTGGCTTGTGAAGCAAGTATACAGAGAAAGAGCTTTATGCAGCCGACAAAGCTTTTCTGTTTATTCTCTCCTCACCACACTCAAATCAGTGCTCAGACAAATAGCACTGTTCTGAAACAGCAATGAGCTAAAGGCGCAGACTGTATAATGACACAGAAATCAATCATGAACAAATAAGTTAAGATTACATTTTTGCAAATTCCCCTTCAGAAAGACACTATTCATCTGCTTAAAGACACTTATCTGCCCCATCCAAGTTTTCTATTGCCTGGCATGTTTTTCTACTTTAGCTGAGTTGTACAGCTACTTTTAAGTTAATTGTGCATTCTTTCAAGATGTATATTCCACCGTGGTTTTTAGAAAGTCTCTTAAAAGGAGTAGCAAAAAAAATATCTGCCCAAGCCCCTTCAAAAATCAGCTTATGACAAGAACCTAAAAAGGATGGTTTATTTGGTTCTTGGTAAACTTACTACTTGCTATTAGCTTGCCATTATTTTACAAGTCTGTTTCAAGACAACTACATCATTTCCAGTTCCATGCATATTATGTAGTCATTTGCACCTTTGAAAAGTGTGTGTAAAATGCTACCAAGTCAGAATGGTAGAAATTACATTTTTTCCGACTTAAAATTTAAAAGTGTGCAGAGGAAATCTTTAAAACATTCTTTTAATGTTATATATTTTCTGTATCATGTGACTTTCCAACTGTAGGCTATCCCAAACAGGGCTCCAGGAAATCACAGCTGGTCTGCAAGTTTTGCAGTAATATGAAGGTGCTCCAAATGTTGGGATCAGAAATAAGAACTCAGAAGAGGGATCAATGATTGTGTGAAATGTTTAATATTTCAGTTAATAATATGACTTTATAAAATTCTGCAAACCCTCACATGACAAATGGTACATTAAAATCCAATCCCTCAGCACCATTATAAGAACTAAGTAGTATTAGCCCCTTTCTAGAGGGAGGATAGCCTTAGTGGCCTGCAACATGAAGTTATCTAGGTTCTATTCCTGGTTCTGCCACAGACTTCCTGTATGACATTGGGCAAGCCACTTAGTGTGTGCATGCCTCAGTTCATCTTTGTAACAGAGGGGGTATTGTGAGGATAAAATCATTAAATGTTTAAGTTGCTCACATACTAAGGTGAGGAGTGTCATAGAAAAGCTTATAACTACATTTTAAAAATGGATAAACAGAGGGGCAGAGAGGATACGTGACTTGTTCAAGTAACCTGTTTCATGCCATGTGTTACAAGAATACTAAGCTAAGTTGCTAAAAATAATGCAAACTTTCCTCCATTCCTTTAAACCAGTGGTTCTCAAACTGGGGATCAGGATCCCTCAGGGGGTCGCAAGGTTATTACATGGGGGGTCACGAGCTGTCAGCCTCCACCCCAAACCCTGTTTTGCCTCCAGCATTTATAATGGTGATAAATATATTAAAATGTGTTTTTAATTTATAAGGGGGGGGTCACACTCAGAGGCTTGCTATGTGAAAGGGGTCACCGGTACTGAGAACCACTGCTTTAAACTTTAAAGTGAATTGTACTGATTTTTAGAACTGTCGATTAATCGCAGTTAACTCACGCGATAAACTCAAAAAACTTAATCGCAGTTAATCGCAGTTTTAATCGCACTGTTAAACAATAGAATACCAATTGAAATGTATTAAAGATTTATTTTATTTATTTAATGTATTAAGATTTACAAATATTTGCACGTTAAAAATGATAAAAGAAATAGTATTTTTCAACTCACCTCATATAAGTACTGTAGTGCAATCTCTTTAACAAGAAAGTGCAATTTACAAATGTAGTTCCTTTTGTTACATAACTGCGCTCAAAATCAAAACAATGTAAGACTTTAGCACCTACAAATCCACTCAGTCCTACTTCTTGTTCAATCAATCGTTATGACAAACAAGTTTGTTTACATTTATGGGAGATAATGTTGCCCGCTTCTTATTTATGTCACCTGAAAGTGAGAACAGGTGTTCGCATGGCACTTTTGTAGCCAGCATTGCAAGATTTTTACGTGGCAGATATGCTGAACATTCGTATGCCCTTTCATGCTTCGGCCACCATTCCAGAGGACATGCTTCCATGCTGATGACACTGGTTAAAAAGATAATGCGTTAATTATATTTTGACTGAACTCCTTGGGGGAGAATAGTATGTCTCCTGCTCTGTTTTACACGCATTCTGCCATGTATTTCATACTACAGTAACTCCTCACTTAACATTGTAGTGATGTTCCTGAAAAATACGACTTTAAGCGAAACGATGTTAAGCGAATCCAATTTCCCCATAAGAATTAATGTAAATAGAAGGGGTTAGGTTCCAGGGAATTTTTTTTTTTGCCAGACAAAAGGCATTATATACATTTTAAAGACTTTTAAACAAGGAATTTAATACAGGTATAAGTTTT